TCTGTGTTGGAAGAAGTGCAGCCAGAGTGCTCCTTGGAGGCCAGGATGAACAAACTTGGTCTCTCATACTTCAGACATATTGTCAGGAGGGACCAATTGCTGGAGAAGGATATCATGTTTGGTAAGGTGGAGGGTCAGAGAAAAAGAGGAAGACCCCCAGCGAGATGGATCGGCCAAGTGGCAGCATCGATGGACTCAAGCGTGGCAACAGTAGTGAGGTTGGCCCAGGATCGGGCAGTGTTTCATTCTGTTGTGCATAGGGTCGCTATGAGTCAGTACTGACTCGATGGCACCTAACAACAACATACATCCCCAACAAGGAGCCCTAGTAGCATAACAGTTAAGCATTCAACTGCTAACAGAAAGGTTTGCAGTTCAAAACCACTCAGTGGCTCCATAGGAGAAAAGCCTGCTTCTGTAAAGCTTGGTGGTGATGGTGGTGATGGTGGTGTGCTGTGGAGTCAGTTCCAACTCATAGCAACCCTGCATAGAGTTTCCCAGGCTGTAAATCTTTACAGGAGGAGAAAGCCTCATCTTTCTCTCGCGAAACAACTGGTAGTTTCAAACTGCTGACCTTGAGGTTAGCAACGCAACTCGTAACCCAGCTACGCTACCAGAGCTCCTATTTTACAGCTTAGAAAACCCTATGAAAACACAACAACAAAAACCAAACAAACAAGCTAATTAAAAAATCAGCGAAGGACATAGACAGATACCTCACCAAAGAGGATATTCAAGCGGCCAACAGACCTATAAAAAGACACACTTCATCATTAGCCATCATTGCTGTTGTTAGGTGCCATCAAGTTGGTTCTGACCCTAAGCACAATACAATGAAACACTGCCCTGCACCATCCTCACAATAATCATATCTGAGCCCAGTGTTGTAGCTACTGCATCAATCCATCTTGTTGGAGGTCTTGCTTTTTGCTGACCCTCTGCTTTCCAGGAACGAATCTCGCCTGATAACATGTCCAAAGTCTGAGAGATGAAGTCTCACCATGCTCGCTTCCAAGGAGCATTCTGGGTGCATTTCTTCCAAGACAGATTTGTTCATTCTTTTGGCTGTCCATAGCATATTCAATATTTTTTTTTGCCAGCAACATAACTCCGATGTATTGATGCAAATCAAAACTACCATGGAAAATCTTTTCACACATGCAAAGCACTAAGAGAACAAAACAATAGGAAATAACAAATGTTAGTGAGGATGAAGGTGAGTTGAGCCCATCTCCATCGCTGGCAGGACTGTAAGATGGTACAACCACTATAGAAAATGGTAGGCTTCTTCTTCAAAGAGCTAGAAATAAAAATACCTTATGATCCAATAATCCCACTCTAAGTATATACCTTGTTATTAGATGCCATCGGATTGGTTCTGACTCACCACAAACTCATGTCCAACAGAACAAAACCCTGCCCAGTCCTGCACCAACCTCACAATCATTGCTACGTTTGAGCCCATTGTTACCACCACTGTATCAATCCATCTTGTTGAGGGTCATCTTCATTTTAACTGACCCTCCACTTTATCAAATGTGATGTCCTTCTCTAAGGACTCTTATTTTCTGATAACATGTCCAAAGTATATGAGACAAGATACATACTTTAAAGATCCAATAAAAGACACAGATAGACATGCACACATATATATTCATTGCAGCAGTATCCATAATAGCAAAAAAAGGAAGCAATTTAGAGGGTCATCAACAGACAAATGGATAAACAAAATGTTGTACCTTTAGTGGTAACTTTATACAATGGAATACTTGTTGTTCTGTATGTACTGTCTAGTCAGTTCCGACTTATAGTGATCCTGTATAGGGTTTCCAAGGAGCGACTGGTGGGTTTGAACCACTAACCTTTTGGTTAACAGTCCAGTGCTCATCCTTCAGAGCCACACCAGGGCTCCAGTGAATACTATGCAGGCATAAAGAATGATGATGAGTCCTCGAAACACAATGTGGATGAATCTGGATGACTTACAAAAGGAGAAGTATTGTATGCTCACACTCTTATAAAGAGATAAGAACCGAATACCTGTAATGAGACCATTTCACTGGTGGTTACCAGAGATGGGTGAAGGGATAGGGAGAAGCAGGTCTGAGACAGTAGACACGTGTTCATTTTAGTGATGGGAAAGTAAAAGAAGAATTCATCAGAATCAACACACACTGCAACATCCCACAAAACTCAGGAACTTTATAATTGTAGGGTTAATAACGGAAGCAACAGGCTCCAATTCAGGATCAGGATCAACTTGGAAGTGACAATAACAATTCAGGAGACAGTTCTTCAGCCAGAACAGCTTCTTCTCAGTCCACTGCCACTGGGTCCCCATCAGGTCTTGCTGCTGCCTCGCTCTGGGGGCCAGGAAACCCACCGCAGCTGTCCCCTGTGGGTCTCCCAGTTCTCACACCATGTGCTGCTACTTTTCCCACATTGGTGTCATGGTCTTCAGTGTCATCATCCCTTCTTTCTTTCTCTGTCTCTCCCTAAATTCTCTGTTAGAGAAGAAGCTGGTTATAAAGCAAGCTCCTATCCGTTTCAAGGCATGCTTCCCCACTCCCAGCAAAACCACAAACTAACCAATCC